GGAAATTGTCGGCTATTCCAATATGGCGGACTATACCAATCACATAAATATGCGAATTGCCAGTGGTAAAACTATGTTGATCAACAAGACAAGTACGTTCTTATTCACCTGACAAGTTAAGAATAATGTGTAGAGAGTAAAGTAGTTGTCGTAAATATGTAACTTGAGAACTTGAGAACTACTTGAGTTACTCTGTAGTTTCCCTGGAGAAAGCCCAAATCATTCGTTTAAATAAATTCAGCGTAAACTTTGTTTACTGAGTGCCAGTATTTAACACAAAGAATCGAAATAAGACGGGAAATCCCTTTCAAAAATCAGGGTGGTGCTCGTGGTACCTTTTGGGGGATGCAATCGCTGGATCAGTTCCGCTTAGTGCCGGCTAAAGTATAAAATGACCGCTGACTTTCTTTCTGCCCGCATCAGTGTCTGTTTGTATGCAAGAGACTCGATCGTCAATTTGTTACTCTTTCGCTTCTGTTTCAGTTGCCAGCCATACTGTCCAATGGCCGTCAGGAAAATATGGGCTACCAATGGCTAAGTCGGGCTGTCCTAAGGCCAACGGTTTCTCTTGGCAGACTGGCAACATTTATCAGGATTTAGAGGACGACAAGAGCCTAACTCAAACTTCCTCGAGCTTTCATCTCAATGCCACGGTTTTGAGTTCTGGTGATGTTAGCCGGAGTTTCTGTTTTAAGATGAACAAGTCTGCTACTGTTGATAACAGTAGATTTCGTTGGCCTGCCAGTCAATACTGCATTTATAAGAAAGGAGCCAGCTGCCCTAAACTTCTACAGGATGGATGGGTCTTGTGGGACGACGAGAACGGTAAAAATGGGGCAAACTTAAATTTCCAGTCCGGCACTGTTCCTGCTGGAAGTTACAAACAAGACACAAAAATCAACTTTTGTTGTCAAACTTTTGGATGGGTTAGCGACCCTATCGAATTGCCCATTGAATCGCCTTTCTATCTTATTGCCCACAACAGTAAGGATTGCCAGGAGGTTCTAAAAACTATTCACACACTGGAATACATTCGTTATGATACAGAAAATGATATGAATCATGACAAACAGTCTCATCCTTATCCATATGGTGCGGATTTGAGCATACCTTACATTTACTATTGCTATTACCAAGGTAACGCATCTTTGTTAATAAGACTCTTTAAACTCATAAATAATTCATCGCGTTTAAACAATGAAATCATCAGTGACCGTGGTGGTGTTTGAAAATCTGATCTTAATTAGCATAGAGATTTTTAGAATTTTATTTCTTTATTTTCTCCTTAGTTTGAGTTCCGATTAAGGGGATATTTCAAAGACTCAAGACAGTGTTTGACCGCATTTCCAAACACCTCGAAGTTCATCAAAAATACTACGTATCTTCAACTATGGAGTTGAATAAATGATTTGTTTTGACCTAAACATATATGTTACCAAAACCATTTTTCACCTTTCAAATAGTCGAGATTATTTCTCTATCTTAGTCCGTTACCGCGTCGTCCCAACCGCGTTTGCACCGGATAGCAAGATTTGTTCTGTATCGGCCAAACATGTTACCCTGTGCCACTTAATATGAGAAGTTGCCTGTCCTTTCAAAAACAGGACTTCGATTGAATTACTTTATTCATTTTATAGCGTGTAGATGGACTAAGACGTCATTAACAGGATCCTTCTGGAGTCCCAGCTATCCAAACACGTACAAAGACAAGGCCTGGTGTGAATGGTACATTAATGTTCCGTGGAACTACATCATCTCAATAACTTTTCTCGACTTCCGCCTCGAGATGATCGACATGTGTGTCACCGCCAACTGTGATTGTGACTACGTGGAGGTTCAAGAGAATTTTTCAAATGGCACTTCGGCTATTGTGGGGAAATACTGTATGGGTGTGGCGTATCCACATGGTGTTATTAAAACGAGAAGCAACAATGTTACCGTCACGTTCCGATCTGATTCCACAGTAGGGAGAGCAGGATTCAAGGCTCGGTATGACGCCATTCACGTTACAGGTAAGGATTGTAAACTCTCATTTAGATCAGTTTTAATTTGAAACACCAATTTGCTTTGAGTTGCTTATCGATTAGTACGCTCGCTATGTTAAAGAGTCGGTCCTACAAAAGTGAAAAAAAAAAATATAAAATAAAACAAAAAAATAAAAACACAAACAAACTAAAATACAAGCAAACAAGCAAACTGAAAAATACAAAGAAACAAACAAAAGAACACAGTGCTGATTAAATTAGAGTTTGACCTAATGGATCCGGGATTTTGATAACATACAAGCTACCTTGTTGGTTTGGGAGTACAAAAGAATGAAATAAAATATATAATGTAAGCCAGACGGGCTCAGATTGATCCAGTGAAGCATTTCTGTTTGATATATACCCCATGCACTTGCTCTGATTGAATGGTTTCGTGGCTTACATGAGGCATGCATGGATACGATCCTTGCCGACGGGTCGGATTCACCTGAACTTTAGAATTCGATCTTGTTTGCATCAGGTTTAGTTTACTTTATCACGCACTAGCCTTTTTTCTTTAAACATCACTTTAATTTATTACTGTATATGCTCAACAGCACCGACTAGTCTTGGCAGCACAACAAAGGGGACTCAGGCAACCTCACCGACAGCCGTTTCCGTTGTGAATCCTGCAACATTTCCATTAACTGGTCCAACTATCGAAGGCACAACTAATGGCAATAGCTCATCTTCTAGTACCTCTAGCAGCGACAGTAATACAACAGCAGCAGGATCCACAACATCGAACAGCATTACAACGACAGCAGCAACCAAAACATCGAACCACATTACAACAACAGCAGCAACCGCAACAACATCGAACAACACTACAACAACAGCAGCACCTACAACATCAAACAACACTATAACAACAGCAGCAACCACAACATCGAATAACACAAGTACAACAACAACAGTAACCACAACTACATCGAACAGCACTACAAAAAATGCAGCAACTGCAACATCGAAAGGGAAAAGCACAAACCCAACAACTCTAGCTGGAACCTCAAGCAACAAACCAACCTCTGAAGTACTGGCAGCCACCACAAAACCGAACGATACAACGATTGTTCCATTTACAAACGCTTCCTCCACAGAGACCTCTTGGACAACTGGGGAGGAAACTAGTGCCAGGCCTAGCGAACCCACAGGGGAGCCCTCAACTACACGACCTGCCACTGAACTACACATTTTACCAACCGGACCGAGCAGTGGAAAAGAGTGGACAACTACCACAACGGCAAATGAAGATGGCGTGCAAAGAGTTAGGAATAAAAATCCAGGCACTGCAAGCAATGTTCACGTCATTGTTGCTGTGACTATGTCCTTGATTGGGATATCTGTACTTGTGGCAGGATCAATGTTTTGCTTTTGTAGAAAACGGTAAATTGTGAGATAGAAATTTTTCCCGCCCATTAAATAGTTTTGTAGTTTTTCTACGCGATACCTGCAAGTGCGATAGAAACAGTTGATTTTATTTTTCGGAGAATCCAAATGTTTCTCCAAGTGGAGCCTTGGGAAATATCAAGATACGAAGGAAACCAGTCGCAAAGTGATTTTTCTGTAGTACAAAAACGACATAAGTAGATTTCAATAAGAAAACTGCGGTCGCCAGTTCATCTTCGAATTCGTGGGGCGCTGAATGTTGCCGCTCTGAGACTTCCGCGGGAAACAGTTTCATTGTTGGTCATATGGTCTCCAAGTACACAACGAGAGCGTGCGGTGTTGTATATCGGGGAAAAAATTGTTGTGTGATATATTTTAATCGTTGTTATATTAATCAGTTAGGACTTTATGTCAATATTACAGGCAATTAAAAAGAAAGCAAACAGACCGAGACAGGCTGAGTGTTGCCTTCAAAGCGACTGAACGAAAAGCAGGAGTTGCAAACGGTGTTCCAAATATTTACGGCAGCAGGTAGGTATGGCAATTTGGGAAACCTCTCTCTCGAAGTGTTAAAAACTGTCACCTGATGATGAATTGCCCTCGATGGCTGGTGATACCTCAATACGGGCCGAGGGTAGCCTTGCTAGAGGGTCGTACAGGGGTATTCTCGTGATTCGTGATTAGCTGATTTGATTTTCCCTGAAACGTGAATTTAGGAAATTATTTTTCGTGACTCGTGACCTGAAGGTTTTGCGTGACCCGTGGAGAACTTGAATTTAACGGATATTCGTGATTTTACCGCTCTACTCTACGTGATTTTGAGACGCAAGTCCTCCGAACGGTTAGGGTCGTCTATCAAGAGTTACTTAGGTATGCGATTTGCAATATGGAGCCTTGACTTAACCATTCGCGATTTTGCTTTCTTCAAACACTGTTTCTAGTGTAAAAACAGGTTATTACAAAGAGTATTTTTACTTGCCTATTTTCGTGATTCGAGAAAACGAAATTTTTATTTCTGTGATCCGTGATCCTCAATTTTTTCCGTTCGTGAACCGTGCCAGAGAACCCCCCCTCCCCCCCCGGGAAGACCCTCTTGCTAAATTTCATGGAATCCCTATAGATGACCATGTCTTAAATTGCGCAGAATAGTTAGTACTCAGCCTCCGCTGACTAAAAGTTTACTCATTATAAAGCGCAAAAGGTACTAGATAAAAGATCACTGTTAGGCGACGTATTTGCTATTAATTGTTTTCGTTGTTGTTTTCAGTAAAGAAAATGCGGAAGAGGAACATTACTCTTATATCGAACACAAGAAGGAAGAACTCAACATTTTATACGACAACAGGTACTAGCTTTCACCTTAAAAAACAAACAAACAAACAAACAAACATGCAAGTAAACGACCAAACAAACAAGCAAACGATCAAAATCAAACAAAATATGGAGAGCAGGGATGATACAATGGGGACGACGTTCGCCTCCCACGATTGTGGCCTGGGTTCGAATCCGAACCCGGCGTCCTGTGTGGTTTGTTTTTCCTTGTGCCGAGGGTTTTCTTTGGTTCTCTGCTTTTGCACAACCCCCCCCCCCCCCCTTTTCCTTCCTCCCTCCTTAATTCCAGCACTTCTAAATTCTGATTCGGTCAAACAGCTGATTGGATGAAAATTCAGTACATATGCCACTCCTAATTCCTTTTTGCTTCTTCGTTATTATTATATTTCATAATACTTAGCACTGACAGAGTTTCCAAGTGATCTTATCATGTGATCGTTTCAAAACAGGGCGTTTACGTACTCCGATGAGATGTTTGAGGAGGATGACGAAATCAAAGAGAGTGGCAATCCACTTTACTCCAGCAGGTTTAGTGCAAACTACTGTAAAATTCTGGTTATAGCTTGGTTTTCCTCTCTCTTAGACGCTCTCGAAGAATCACGAATCCCTTTCCCCCAAGCAGAAACAGCACCCACATTAGCGAGTACCCTGAAAGTTACGTGTCATGGTGTGAAGTCTACAGAGGTCATACGTCCTGTGCATGTGCAATTCCGTCCTTAACTGACACTTGCAGAAGTCTCAATTCTTTGGAGCCTTCACTTTTAAACCAAATTAAAAGAAAAACTTTGTGCGCCGCACACGCTTAGAGAATTGAAATTATGTTATATGTTATGATATCCTATGATATGTTATGTTATGTTATGTTATGTTCTGTTATGTTATGTTATGTTTTGCTATGCTACGCTATGCTATGATATCTTATGTTATGTTATGTTATGTTATATTGTTGGAATTTGCATAGAATGCCTTTAGTTTATCCTCCCTCAAATGGTACTTGTCCATCTTGTTGGAATAAAGAAAATGAGAGTATTTCCAATGTCATACATATTTCACACTCTATTTGTATCCTTTTTTCAGCTTTGAAACTGAGCAAGATGGAAATCGAAACATTTTGTACGAAAGGTAAGTACATACCTCTTTTTATTTTATCTATATCTCCAATATATAGTACGTAAATCGTGATCAGAATGTTACTCGTGCCATTATTTTTATCCGCCAGGTTCATTCATAGCATGGAAAATATTTAATGACTCAATTCCAATCTCGTTTCAGCATGGATGAGGTCTCACAGAATATAATCGAAGCCGAAGCTGTTAACCCAGTGTATGAGAGGTCGGTCTGGTTTCTGCTTTGGTTATTTTAAAATATAATTTGGTTAATAGCATAAATATAGAATCATTACACACGTGACAGACTTGAAATTACTAATGTCACATGGTTTGCTAGTCATTTGGGTTTGTAGTTATTAACATGATATTCGCGTTATGGGATAATGTAAGAAAAAAGTTATTTATAATGTAAGTATGTAAAGGACTTATCACCTCGATCGAAATTATTTCTAACTCTGATTTTTCTGTCTCACCCTAACCCTATAAAAATAATAATAAACATAAGTCTTAATTTTTCCGGAGAGACAGAGCATATTTAAGAAAAGCTATCAGCAATATAGTTTTAAAGAAATGTTTTCCAACAACCAAACTTGAATACAAGCTCGTGATTTGCAACACTGAACAACTATATCAGTACAATATACACTCTGTTTCCTTTCTCTGTTTCCTTTCAGATTTGATTAGGACAGAGAGAATTAGTGCAGGATCACGTTAAATTACTTCAACAGCCTGGAACAACATCACATCCATTTTGAAGACAATGCCAGCAGACTTGCTTTTGAAAATTGCAGAAGGCAGCTTTAGATATATCGATATTTGGCAGAATGTAGTCCAAGAAGAAAGTACCCGGTCTGTTGGTTCCCTGACCCTGCAACGACTACGAGATCTCTAGATGACTTATCCACTTTGATAAAAAAGATATAAGTTTGTTAATTTATAGGTTTAGATCTTTAATTGGAGAGAGAAAAAAAAAGAAAAACATATATGAATGGATTGATGAAAACCGTGTCAATACCTCGCACCATTTCGCCTCAATGCACTTTAATTTCACGACTCCTAAAGGCCTTAAAATTACTCCAAGCGATGACAAAAAGAAAGAAAGAAAGAAAGAAAGGAAGGACGAAAGAAAGGAAGGAAGGAAGAAAAAAAAACAACAACAACAACAAACAAACAAACAAACAAAAAAACAGATAGAACCACCAAGAGAATGAAGTTAGAGAGTGGAGGAAATCAGTCAGTCCAAACTGAGAAGTACGTACTTTAACACAGCAAACCATAATTATACTTGTTCCCCCATCATTTCAACTGTATCTAGATTTAAAACACTACACCAGTGCCTCCTGAAGAGGTCTTAGGAGAGTGTGGGAGTGGGCTTGTTTCTGAAAAGAGAGATAAGGAGTGGTGTAACCGTGTACATTTAATATAAAAGCTCGTCATTAAAGAAAAGACCTTCAAGAAAACAAAGGTTTATAAAAAGATGTGTTGTTGTATGATATATCCATTATAGTGCATTACAGTAGAACCTCTCCTTACGGAGACCTCTCTAGGTAATGAGGGTAGTCTATTACAGACAGTTTTCCTTGCCCATGCAAAATGCCCATACGCCAGTTCTGTATGAACCGCACTGTAATACGGATCCTCTCTCATTAAACAAGCTACAATCTTGGTCAATTCAAATGAAAAATTAAGACCACCCCCTCCCCCGCCCCCCTCACCCATTTCAATGACGGAAAAATGGCGCCTTTTGGCTTTAGCGGGAGTTCATCATTGATTCAGGGGAGGGTAGTTTTATTTCTTCTCATTTCTTTTATTTCTTTCTTCAAGATGGCTGCTCGGATCGTATATACAGTACTGGGTGAATATCGCCCCATGGTCGATACCATCAAGCCGATCACGGGGCGATATTTTCTCAGTGCAGCCCTAGCCCTCGCGCTCGCTCAATAGACTATATTCGTATTTTCGGTATTGGACTGGATCTAGCTTGTAATGGAGGCTCATGCGGGGAATATCATTAAAAAGGGAATTCGCGTTTGAAGAGACTCCACGCATTGGCTTCAGTTGCAAGCTAGCTCCAGTGCAATATCGGGAATACGAATATGGACTATTATGAACATGCCTATCATCACTGTTCATCACCTATCTATAGCTAACAACACATGATTGCGTTCAAACAGCTCAGTCACGTGCGACACCAAAACCGCAGGCTATGAGTGCCCGAGGTTCGTCCCGGCCCAGCCCGGGCCGGTCTTTAGGATTTCAAATGCCCCACGTCCGAGAAATCAGTGAAGTTAGCAATTAATCAATTCTGCACCAGAAATGTAGCTGAGTACCCTTGAATGGCATGTATAGGTTAGTAAAGCCTCACTCGAAAGAAACACTAGATAGTTTAGTATCATGTTATGGTGTGCCATCGGATCAGAGGAGCCGAATAAGTGTTTACCATTAGCGCCGGTTAAAGCTCTACTGGAAAGTCGCTAGCTCAGTCGTTACGGTGAGAAATGCGTGACGAGGAAAGAGATTGTGTCCGCGCACGATGACGCAAGATTTTACACGAACACGGCTGATACAACAAGTAGGTTTAGATTTCCACGAAAAAAAAAAAAATCACATAGGCACCCCGTCCACACATCCTGCCTTAATTGGCATTATTTTAGCTTTTTGGGCACCAATATAAATCTCAACGTACCCAAAAAGGCACGAGTTTTGCCTTCTAGATTGTAAATCGGATTATTAAAATATCTGGGCATGAAACATCGGAAACACATTCGAAAAACTTCCTTCTCGAACACGGAATCTCCCAGTCCGTTGACATATTAGGAAGTAATATTTCGCCTTTGTAACTGAATTATCATTTTTATGACGTGGTTATTATGTCATGACACTTTAAATTGTCGCCCCTTGTTTACTTTTGTTACCAATATAGCGACAGGGTCACGGCGTAATTGTTATCTAATACTGTGGCCTTTGTTCGTTCTACCATAGTGAAGTCAGCACCTAAAGCTCCCATTATTTCACTGTTTGCGGTCTTTTATAAAATGACTGAGAAAAACTGGCGAGGGATGTATTTCATCTTGTGGCCTCTGTACGCTTCTAATGTTTGTCACAGAATCCTTGGATTTGTGCTGTTGTGGTGTTTAGCTGGCGAAGGTACGTGTTTAAGCTTGTTTTCTGCAGGGACAGCTGGAAGTATTTCTCTTCTTCATTCGTGTTCCAAATTGGCGCTGTGCAAATGCTGTTGCGTAAAATTGTCCATCACATTAAAACTTAAAAGAGTGGAAATATTGAGCAAGATTTACCTTAAATATAATATTTCGGGAAAGTTAATCTATCAGTTGATTAATATTTAAAATTGTACGATTGAACTGCACATTTTATATCAGCGACAGTCGCAATGAATACTAGTTAATACGTTATTGTTTCAGTAACTGAGATCTAACTAGGATTTTTTCCATGCATCAATGTTCCATTTTCATAAAAAAAATCGACTTGAAGTAGAATAAAGAAATAAAAAATGAAACATGACCTTTTAGTTTCTTTAATTAAAAGCCCACGTGTTTTTTAAACGGCTTTGCAAACATTCCTAACACTTGATGATGCACGAGGTCACTAATACGTGTTCATTTAACTTGTTTGGCGAATTCTTTGCATTTCTAAAAAACACACCGTTCAATTCGAAACTTTAACATCCCCCTCCTCCCACAGTAGCCGTCCCTGGGTCAGTTTGATACTTCGAATATTCGCATCCCCCAAGTAACAAAATTGGTGTTGAAATACCTCACATTAGCGTTACGTTGTGTACTATGCGATCTACCCACGAGAAATACAGAGGAAAAATGAATGAAAAAATGAATGGCATTGGTGTTCCAGGGTTAAATTCTCATGACCTACATAACACTGTATATTTACGTTACTTGGCGAAGTTATACAAAATCGCGCTTAATTGCGTCTTTCGGCAGCGCTAACAGTATCATTGTCATCTGTGTAGTTTCCTCCATGGTATTATGGCCGTCAGGAAGGTATGGATTACCAATGCCTAAGACAGGATGCCCCAAAACAAATGGTTTTCACTGGAATTCCGGGTACATCCTCCAAGACCTTGAGGACACAGATAGCATGACTAGTGTCTTTCCAAACCCATCGCATCTACTGGGATGGGTCTCAAACGACGTCCTGCGGTACTTTTGTATAAAAAACAACGCGTCAGCAGCCGTCGATAGCAAGAGGTTCCGATGGCCCGCAGGAGAATACTGCATCTATCGAAGAGGCTCTAGGTGTCCTGCGGGACTGCAGAGCGGATCGGTGCTTTGGGATGACGAAAACAGCGCCACAGGAACGAACAAGAACAAGCACGCCGGTGTTCTTCCAGCGGGAGCTTACAATCAAGACACAAGAATATTCTTTTGCTGTCAGATTACAGGGTCCCACGATAACCCAATTGAGCTACCAGTCGCCTCGCCTTTCTATCTGATAGCGTTCACACCGCAATGTCAGGAGGTACTGAACTCCATGCACACTATGGAGTACATTAGGTACGATACGGAGGATGACTACAATCATGACCAGAAGTCATTTCCTTATCCTTATGGAGTTAGCTTTCAAGAGCCCACCATATACTACTGTTACTACCAAGGTATTCCAGCTTTTGCTGTGGCCCATTTAATAACGCATGCGTAGTATGCGAGTAGTCTCTCGTGCGTTGCGGCACGAGCAAAGGCGAAGCCTCTAGAGACGAGCCAGAGTCGCACCTTTGCCTTTGCTCGTGCGGCAATGTACGCACGACAGTCGAATTTCGTCGATGAGAAAATAGCAGGAGAAGATTTTCCTATTTAGTAAGGCCCGTAAATCCGCGATTCGATTCTATTAGTATTAATCCTGCTACTAGCGTTCTCTGATTGGCTACGCTACTCATCATCTAACTGTTGTAGATAGTGAGAAGCCTAGTAGTGCGCGCTTGTTAACAAACTGGCGGCCGCTTCTTTGCGTTTTCGAGATGTCTGTGGAAAGGATTTAGATAAAGTTTTGAACGATTAGTAGACTTATACTAAAACAATTGGATTATTCGCTATCGATTTCTATTTCTCTTTCTCAGGCTGCGCCCTCGTCAACTATCACGCGATAGAAATCTCGAGCACATAATCTAATTGTTAACTATTTTTACTCTTACTGCGCGCATTCCCTGCCCAGTGCCAGACAGTGGTGTCAAAGTCTCCTCTTGCTCTTGTAAGAAGTGCCACTGCGCTGTCACGTCACCATGGCGCTGTTAAGGATTTAAGTTTAAGACGTCATATTATTCCAAAAGAATCCTATCAATTTAACATTGTGGGGCAAATACTTAAAAGAAATTCTGAGAAAAGTAAAGAGGGGAGAGCGAGGAGAATTTAAAGACCTAATAAATACAAAGCTAGTCATCATTATCATATACAATTTTCAAACCAAATGACTAGTGGTTAAAATTAAATTTTGATTGTGTTTAGTATGTTCAACATGTCCTATATTCATCGGTTCTGAATAGAGTGTGCATGGACAATGACGGCGCTAACAGGGACATTCTGGAGTCCATACTATCCACTGGACTACAAGAACCACGCCTCGTGCAAGTGGCACATTACTGTCCCGTCGAATTACACCATTTCGGTCAACTTTGAAGACGTCACCCTGGAACGCACTTGCTGTCGGTGTGACTATGTCGAGGTCTGGGAAACTCTGAAGAATGGTTCTGCAGTTTTGATCGCAACGTTTTGCGACGACACAAAACCAGATCCGTCTCAACAGTTTAGATCCACCGGCAACAATGTGACGATTGTTTTTCGCTCGGATGCTACAGTACAAGAAAAAGGATTTAAGGCCAGTTATCGAACAATTCCACTGCCAGGTAAGAAGGTTAATTTCAAATTCAGTCGACATTCAAATTTCGGCATTTACGTATGCATTAATTCTCAGTGCTCAGTTCTCTATGATTTACTATATCAGTTTCATTTCCAGCAGGCAGACACATTGAAATGGGTGAATGTTACTTTAATCACCGAGAGAGCCTTTAATTAGTAATAAGGCTTTCTTTTTCTTTAGCGGGGACGCGGTGGCCTGATCGTAAGAGAGGTGGACTCCAAATCGAGAGGCCTGAGTTCACGAACCATGGTTGGGGGCATGGCGGCGTGTTCTTGGGCAAGACACTTTACTCCCACAGTACCTCTCTACCAGGTGTATAAATGGGTAATAGTGAATTTGATGCGGGTGGTAGCCCTGCGATGAATTAGCACCCCACCCATGGTCAGGGGAAGTAGACATACTTTTAGTCGCTTCAACTCTACAAAAACAGGGATAAGCTCCGGCTTTCTTGGCCACGGCCTGACGTAGACTTAACCCTACCCAGCTTTGTTCTTCAGTGCCACCTTATATCTTGCCTCTGTATGAAGGCGGTCTTGAAGATAATTAAGATATATGTACGGCAGTCAGCAATGAGAATTGATCTTTTGAGCGTCTTCCCCTTCTTCACACACAGTGATCACAACGACTTCAACCATCGCCTCCACTGCCGACAGCAACGACACGCGGCGAACGACGACGATTTCTAGATCTTCACACGTAACAACAATTCCCCCGACAAATTCAAGTACGAGTAGTAACGTAGTTACAACTCAGTTCACGAAACAGGACGACACAACGACAGTGGTCAAAACGACTTCAACCATCGCCCCCACTGCCGACAGCCGCGAGACGCAGAAAGCAACAACTACATCTTCACACGTAGCAACAACCCCTGAGACGAAAAAGAACGACACCACGACAATTTCTTTTAGAAATATTTCCACGAGGACATCAACAACTGAACGAGACACTACTGCTCGGTCAAGTGACCTCGCTACAGAGACGTCCACAACTGAATTTACATCTAAACAACGTATTTCACCAACCGAGCTCGGTAAAAGTACTGCGACGAATACAGACGGTGTTAAAGAAGCCAGAAATGAAAGCGCTTCTAAAGGGAATGTTTTCGTCATCGTCGGTGTGATTGCGTGCTTGATTGTGATTGGTGGAGCTGCGGCAGGAACGCTGTTTTGGTTCTGGAAAAAACGGTTAGTTCAATGTGTCTGTCAAGCTTTCTGTTTCTTTTCTTAAAAAAAGAAAAAGTTTCTTCTTAGTCACATAAGCACGAATACTTGTTCGTTGACTATGTGACGATTTATGACTTCCGACCTGGTGAATTTTCTACACTTTACGGAAAATGTTAGTAACACACGTGTTCTTTTCGGTTATTATTTTCTTCTCAACTCCATTTGGTCACTTTGAAAAAGTATTCAAAAAGTATGTAATTTTTTTTTTTTTTCAATTGCCAAATTTTTCACGAAGGTGACCGGCACTCGGTGTACGTACGTGATCTCTGCTCAAATCATCAATTTTCGTTGTAATTTCAGATAGCACTCAATTGACTATGACTTCTCCGATTAAATTGGGCCCGAAGATTGTCCCTTCCGTTTTTTAAAGGTTTTAAAACTAGGGGACCGTTCATTTTTTATCAGGTAGGGGGGGCTG